TGAGTGGTGCAAACAGTTACTGTACTCCACTGCTAACCAGAAAGTTGGATGTTAAAGTTACCCAGAGGTTCCTTGGAATAAAGGCCTGACCATCTATTTCTGGAAATAGACATCCTGAGCCATTGAAAATTCTCTGGAGCACAGTTCTACTCTGACACACATGGGTTGCCATGAGTTAGCATCAACTCAAGGCAACTGATTTGGTTTGAACATATAAACTTAACGGATAATATTAATTAGTATCATATTTTGAGTTCTTAACTATTTTCTAGGGGTTCTTCTTAATGTTTCACATGGGTTAAATAGCTTTCACAGCAACCTTGTGGGGTATAGGTACTCTTACTGCCCTCATTTTACAGGTAAGGTAGCTATCCGTTTGGATTTACCAGGAAGCAAATGCCAAGATGGGATTGGTTGTACAAGAGACACAAGAGATTGCAAGAGAGAGTAGGAGAGGTGGGCAGCATCTTCAGACCATAAAGAAGATCTGACAACCTGGAAGGAGAGAAATCAGCTTGGAGGGGGGAAAGACACCTTGGGAAGAGATTGTGGGGAAGGAGGCAGAGGAGGAAGCAGGTCCACACAACAGCTGGTTCAGAGAACAGCCCAGCTGAGAAGCCCAAGGGAAGTCCAGGAGCCAGAGGCATGCATGGTGGCATCCATTGTTAGCTCTGCCTTAGTACCCCAGGCACAGGCACTGGCTAGGACCTGCTGCAGAAAGTGTGGTGGAAGCAATGGTGGGTGCAGAGGGGCCACTGCTTCAGCTTTCAAGTCAGGGGCACCCCTGGAAGCTGGGAGGCACAGCCACTGAGGACATAGAGTGAGTCACCTGCAGTCACACTGCTGAGAGTAGACGGAGCCAGTATTCACTTAGATTGTCAGATGGCCAATGTTCTGAAGGACCCAACAGTGAGAGAGGCAGACGTAGCCTTGGAAACGGCAACATCTACCGTGGAAGGTCAGTGCTTTCTGAGCCATTTGTAGTCATCTTTTAAGCAGTGAGTGATTGTTTACTTGCTAAGCTAGCTCTTCACAGGTGCTCTTTAGAGAAGTCAAGGATCCTTCTCAGGCTTAGAACAATCTAAGAGAGGCACACCTGAGGGGATCAGGAGATGAAAACAGAAGGAAATAAAGGTTACAGTAACCTTTTATCTCTGATTACATGCAAGGGACTAATTTTTTCCTTGTCATTAAAATTTTTTATTATCTTTTTTTTTTTAGGAAAATATTTCTTTCTCCTTTGAAGTTTTATAAGTTTTTGTAAATGCATCTTGATACTGAGTGGGAAAATCAACCTCTGTATCTGGGTCAACTGCTGGACCTTGACACACACAACCCCATTACCCCACCCACCCACCACCCACCCCGATCTTCTCATTAAAGTACCATTTTCCTGGATGGTAATTTTACCTTAAATCATCAGATCGTTTTCAAATGCTGCCTTTTGAAATTTCTTGGAATTTTCTAACATTAAGCATTCCTATGAAAATACTTGCTTTATGATTAAAGAACACTATATTCATAGCTAAATGATTTCTGAAGCCTTGTTGTATTATAATTTTTGCTCTTAATGAAAAATCCAGTTTTAAAAATTCAACCAGCCTGGGTATTGTCCATCATATGATGGTTTCAACTTTTTTATGCTAATAAAGCATGTCATTTGTGTGTCCTTGCAGCTGCCAGAGGGTCGGCTGCACAGCCCTGTGCATATTTCTAACCTCTGCTCTCCAGCCGTGCAAGCCCCTCGTCCATTGTTTCTGGAGACTCATCCCTCTGAAAGCTGCATCTTCCTTTGCCGTAGTACACACTTGAGGGGGCTTGTTACACTGAGCTTCATTTGAAACTGGTGCTGATTGTGGTAGGCAGACCTATGGACACATTCACACACTTACCCATTGGGAGCAGGTCAGAGCTGGGAACCCTGTGATGTCACTGCGGTTGTGAAGGGAGGGAGGAAGGATGGATGGGGCAGGGCCAGGGCAGTGGGGACAATGCCAACCCCATGGGGCTCTACCCATGCTCCACTTTGTGATTCACTTTTGTAATGTTCTCTAATCATGGTCATGAAAAGTGTAATAAAAATGTACCTTAGAGGCTTTCATAGTTACATAAATGTTACTCAAGGCACTGCCATTTCTTGGATAAGTGGTCGGGATTTATGAAAAACTATTGCTTTGTGAATGGGGTAGTTTTGCAATTAATTGAAACTCCAGTATAATTCACAAGTAAATTAAATCCACATTGAATTTTTTCCAACTGAATTTATAATTACTGTATGAGTTTACTTCTTTTCAATGATCGTTAATAATTTAGCTACTTCTTTAAAGCAAAACCAAGAAACTGTACATGTGAAACTTGAGAAGAATGCTTTCACTGTCATCAAATCTTTGCCCAGAGTTGATTTAATACACACATATATACATAATCGATGCAGTAGATAATATGTGATGTCTGTTATGATATTAAAGAACCCTGATGATGCAGTGGGTAAGCACTCCGCGGTGAACTGAATGGTTAGCAGTTGGAACCCACGCAGAGGCTCCCCAGGAAGGAAGACCTGGCTGTCTGTTCCTGGACAGAGGACAGCCTAAAACCCCCCAGTGGGGTCCTCTCTGGTGGAATCGGCCCACTGGCCCCATCAACAGTAGTAACAGCACCAGCAAGGTAAGAAAAGGTCCTCCTGTTCGATTACCACTAGTCTCAAGCACCTACTGTGTGTAGGACTCACACAGGTATTTCCAGGTTCATTGTCTTATTTAATCCTCACTTGGGTGTGTGAAGCATGTATGAGGATCTATGCTTATGAGTTTTAAAGCTAGTGAATTTAATCAATGTATAAAGTTTTGTCAGGCACTCTTACAGACTCTGTGGCCAGAGTCTCATGGCAAATAGTGGCATCAAGATCTAGAAATGAAGATTTTCTTCAAAATCCTGAAGCCAGTGATTTTTTGTTTTTGTTTTTTAATTTTTGCCTTTTCAGATCATTGGCACCTTTCCGTAACAAAGTAAGAGCAAGAAGAACCAATATTGGTTGTGTGTATGCTGCTGTAGCACAGCCTGTTCCAGGGGCTTTAATGCAAGCTAATGCTCACAGCCACCCAGTGAGATGAGCATTGCTACTGTCCGCGTGTCACAGAGAAGGACGAGGGACACGGACGCCAACGGAGCTGAGCCACCTGGCCCAGGACCCACAGCTGGTGTGTGTTAAGAGGAAGGACGCAGACCCAGTGATCTGACTCCACAGGCTCCACCCTTAAAACTAAAATACAACATGTGAGGGGTTTGGGGAATTATACTAGCATGGATTCCCACCTTTCAGGTCTTCCTGGAATCATCAGTATCAAACAGCTTTGTGGCACAAGAATCGGGTTTAGATTCCTAGTTCTAGTTGGATTTCCCCACAGCATTATCGTCACTATCCTCGAGGTCAGCATGTTTGCAATTATACCTTCATCCTCTGAGCCTAAAAGCCTGTTGCCTTATAACGATTCCTAGTCTCTGAAATTAGGAAAAGTGGACAATTGATCAGTCTGTACTCCACAAGGGATCTGTGGTGTTCATGGACAAGACCAGTGTAGACTTCACAAGTCAGGAGGCTCAGGTGTCTCATCACAGGCGTCGGCCCACTGTGTCCTTGAAAGCCACACATGACTCAGAAGCTTGTGGCTTCCAAAAGTTTGTGGGAAAATCCCATTATCTCATCATTCCATTTTCACAGGAACTTTTTATAGGCCCCTCCATATTCTATACACATACAAAATAACATTTATGTAGATGTGCTAATCAAATATGCGAGGGGGTACCCCCCAAAAAACGGAATTGCACTGAATGAAGCGGAGCGTTTGTAATATGTATTTCCCCCCACTTGGCAAAAATTGGGCAACTCTTAAGTCAGTGCACCGAATAAGGTTCTCTGGTCACAGTAAATAGTTTTTGTAAAAGCGGTTTCACTCAAATCTCATTTTTTTGTGGCGACTGATTTAAGAGAACAGCATGTGGCTGTGAAATTTTGTTTGCTCCTCAGGAAAATTGCCACAGAAAGGCTCATGATGTTGACCACAGCTTACAAGTGCAGCGCTATGGGGAAAACTCAGAATGTTGATTGATGACAAATGTCATTCTGGACATCAGTCAACTTCCTAAACGAACTAAAGTGGCAGACGGGGGGACTGGTTTTGCCACCACAACAGTGCACCTGCTCACACAGCCATCTCACTGCGCCAGTGTTTGGCCAAAAACAGCATGCCTCTCTTGCCCCATGCCCCTCTCTCAACTGGCCTTGCTCCATGCAACTTTGTTTCCGAGAACGCAGAGGGACATGAAAGGACAGCAATGACGACATAGAAGAGGTGAGGAAGAGAACAAGGGAGGTGCTGTCAGCCTTCCAAACAGATGAGTTTGAAAAATGTTTCCAAGAATGGAATCGCAGATTTGACAAATGTATTAAGTGTAATGGAGAGTGATTTGGAGGTGAGAAGGTTGTTTTGAAAACAAAAAAACATAGCTTTGAAAAAATCTGGTTGGGGGGGATACCGCCTTGTAAATGTATATTTGCATATATACATGTATTCTTAAATTAATAGATCAGGCTATTTCTTTCCTTCTATAAATTTAACCTCCTGCCCCTCAGCTTTCTTCATCTCCCTTCTTCCTCTCTTTCTGTCTCTAAGCAAGTGAAAGAGGATGTTTCCCTTTAACAAGTGTCTGTGACCTAGCAGACTCCAGTGTTCAAAGATTGAAAATTTCAGGTCTTCAACACTGTAGGCAGCTCAGAGTTGGGGTCTGAACACATGTGAATTTCCTCTCAGTACCACTGCTTCTTTCTGTTCATGTATTAGCCTTTTACATTTTCAGAAGTTGTTTTTGTTTTGATTTTACTGAAGATTCATTGAAGGACAGTAGAATTATAAATTTTCAGGATATATTTATAAGTAAAATAACCACTCACATGTTTATTTGCAAAACATAGAGGATTTATTTTCCAAATAAGTGTAGCTTGCCTAAGTTTTTCTCTAATGCTGTTTTTAAAGCATGCGTTTTTGTTTTCTAAGACAGTTATTTCTAGTTCAGTAGCAGATGCATATTTCACCTCAGATACAGTATTTCCAGAAGCACTCAGAAGGAGTCTCGTATTTCTTAGACGGTTTCCTGGTTCCAACCAAAAGGTCTCTCAGTAAAACTTTAGGGTCTTGTCCAGAGAGAGCCTGCAACCCAAACAATTCCAACAAACACTGGGTTAAGTTAATGAATTAAGAGTCCTGCATGAGACTCTGCCCGTGAGTCAGTGTCCACCCATAGTGACCCTATAGACAGGCTAGAGCTGCCCCTGTGTCAAGACATACCCAGTTGCTGTCCACGTGACTCCAGCTCCTGGTGACCCCATGTGGGTCAGAGTAGAACAGTGCTCCGTGTGGGTTGGGGTGGCCGATTGTGGAAGGATCTTGCCAGGCCTTTCTTCCAAACGACAGCAGGTGAACTTGAAAGGCTTGTAGGCGAGTATAGTCACAAAACCCCTTAGGAACCACACAGTTTGCTTTTCGGCGAGGGGATATGTCTTTCAGTGTTTAAAATTTCCTTTTAATTGTACGCGTTGGCTGTTATCTGCATGGTCGGCAGTTCGAAGGGAGAAAGACTGGGCTTTCTACTCCCATAAATAGTTACAGCCTTGGAAGCCCACAGGGGGTCGTTCGGCGGTGACTCAATGGCAGTGAGTTTGCTTTGAGTTGGAGTCATTATAAAAGGAGCCCTGGTGGCACAGTGGTTAAGGGCCCAGTGCTTACTGGAAAGTCAGAGATGGTGACCCACCAGCTGTTTTGTGGGAGAAAGATGTGGCAGTCTGCATCAGTAAAGATTGACAACCTAGCAAACCTGATGGGGCAGTTACACTCTGTCTTATAGACTCGCTCAATGGCCGTGGTTACTGTACAAGAATCCCTGGGTGGTACAAATGGCTAGCATACTGACTGCTAAGTGAAAGGTCAGAGATTCAAGTCTACCCAGTAGCACCCAAAAGAAAGGCCTGGCAGCCTACTTCCAAAGCATCAGCCATTACAAGCCCCACGGAGCACAGTCCTGTTCTGACACTCCTGGTTCACCATTTTCTTAGACATATGTTTTCTTAAATGTACACCATTTGAGTGAGTTCATGCCCAATTACAGTTTTTCGATATACATGTAATTTTCTGGATATTGTCTCTCATGTACGTCTTCCAATTACATGTTTCCAGCCTGCCATTCCTGCACTGGCATCTTATAATGCAGAGTTTTCCTCCCTCCCAGGCACGTGAATCATCTCTGGGGCTTGTAAAAAGGACAGGCTTTCACTCAGAACACCCTGGGTGGGTCTAAGAGTCTGTCTTTTCCCCACGTTGCCTGGCGATACTGGCGTTGCAGTTCCAGGGACACAGGTTGAAATACAGCAGCAGCACAAGTGGGTCGGAAACTTGAAAGCCAGCCCTTATCTATGTTTCGTTCCATTTTAACTTGTAATAATTTGCACCAATTAGCCACCACTGGGTAACTGCTTCATGCATTCAGATTTTACATGAATCAAAATCTGGAAAAATGAATGCTTTAAAATAACACTGATTAGCCCATTATTCTAAGTGATGGTTGCCACCAAGAACATTTCTCTTGTTCTTGCCAAGGATCCTCTTGCCAAGAACACTCTTTAGTTCATGAATTTAGAATCCTTTTCAGTTGGGTATAGAATGTTCAATTGCCCAAGCCTAATTTTCATCCATTGAGTTACTTACATTTCTTGTCGTTCCTCCTGAGCGGAAACTGCTGGTTCTTGGTTCTGGAAAATAATATTTGGAAAACAGGTTCACCATCCAATCTCTGTTTCCATTTTATAATCCTTTCATTTAAAACACAGAGTAGAGTATTATTAAATTAGGCCCAATGTCTGCTCTTTCTTTTTCTCACCCTTTAGCATAGTGGTTCTCAATCTTCCTAGTGCCGCAACCCTTTAATATAGTTCCTTATGTTATGGTGACCACCCCCCAACCTTAAAATAATTTTGTTGCTACTTCATAACTATCACTTTGCTACTGTTAAAAATCGGGAGACCCCTGTGAAAGGGTCATTCGACCCACAGGTTGAGAACCGCTGCTCTAGCTGTGTTTATACCCATGCAGGTAGAGGCCCTCTTGTTCTTATCTGTGGAACTCACAAAAGGTGCATCATTTCCCTCATCCAGGTAGCACGTCAGTGGTTGACCAGAAATAGGTGACAGCAAAGGGGATGCTTTTCTGTTCAGGAATGTCAGTTGAGATGTTCCCTGTCATTTTCAGAACCCTTCTGAGTATTTGTACCAGTGCTTCGAAGAGTACACACACAGAGACTGACCAGTAACAGCCGACACCTAGCTCCTTGCTTTTTGTGGGACCCTCCTGAGCCTTGTCCCTGCATTCTCTCACCGACGCTTCACAGCAACCCTATGAGGTGGGTGCTTTTTATCATTCCTGTTGACTGTTAAGAAACTGAAGTACAGAAAGATTAAGTCACTGGCTTACATTAGTAGTGAGAAACCAGGATTTAATCATGTACTCTAGAAACTGAATAATAGCTCCCCCCAAATAAAAAGCCATACAGGAAAATGTGTGTGTGTGTGTGTGTGTGTGTGTGTGTCTACACGGAGATGCCAAGTAGAGCATGCGCAAAGCGTTCTGGTGAAAAGGGAAAACATTAAACCTCTCAGCCAGAGGGGAAGAGTTGGACAGTTGATTTACATATTAATCTGTATCTTTCATGATAGGGTTTTCCTCATTTAGTCGATGGGAGTGGGAGGTAAGAGCAGCAGCACCATGAGACGAGCTCTCAACACATACTTATCTCCTCGCCCGGTGTCCCCAGACCAGCAGCTCTCTGTGCATTCAGCATCTCTGGCAGCATCCGCAGGAGGGAAGCTCTTTGTACCTCACTGGAAGTCCATCTTGCATCTTCATCAGTGGCTGCCAAGAGAAATCACATCGTTACGCAGTTCAGTACCCCCTTGGTGATTTCTGTCCTTGTGTCTGTAGGGATGGGGTGCCAAGGCCAGGGTGGGAATATTAGGAAAAGTTCAGAGGTTCCATTTGTGATTGGTCAGTGGCATTTCAGTCGAGCGATGGGAACTTAACAGAGTACAAGCCAGCAAAACAGGAAGTTGCCTTCATGACAGCACCCTTGCTTGGGCCTCTCTGAAAAAAATTTCAGCTCGAAAAGCAGATGCTTCTTCATTCTTTTTACCGACCACTGCCTACTGCCTTTCGCCCTTAGGTTAAGGTGACCAGATGTCCCGCTTTTGGCGGGACAGTCCCGATTTTTGGTGTTTTTAAAAAGTCCCGATTTTTGGAAAGAAGGCATGACAAGCTAGGGAACAGTCTATTTGGTCCATGTAGACCAAATTTCTAATCAAGCACACACCCCCACCCCTGGTCAATGGTGTCCTGCTTTAAATCTGGCCACCTTACCTTAGGTATGTGGCTGGGGGAATTAGAGAGGACACATAAAGGGATAGCTTTCTAGCAGATGAGACTGCTCCCATTCTACAAAACAAATAGGGTGGCAGTACCTCATCCTGAACTTCACGATTTAGGTACAAATATCATCGTCACAATTATCAAAGAATATGCTTTAAAATAATCCTAAAGGGACTGAATATGTCAGTGTGGAATGTGTTGAACTAAGTGGTACATTAGGTCAAAGGTAAAGATATAGAAGGTTTTTGCTAAGCATGTGTTACGTGTATGATAAGCCTGTATGTAAGGTGAATGATAAGGAGTGTGAATTCTGTTAAGATTATATAAGGTGTATAGTAAGTATGTGAAGTACATTGTAAGTGTATGTAACACAGTGTGATCAGTTCAGTCCAACTCGGCAGCCCTGTATAACAGATTAGAACTGCCCATAGTTTTCCAGAGTTACACAGTTTTGAAGCATACTGTCACATCTTCCTCCCATGGAATGGCTGGTGGGTCCACACCTCCAACATCTTGATGAGCAGCAACGTGCTTAACTGTTGGGCCACTAGGGCTCCTTAAGTGCATATCAAGTATGTGATCAGTGCATGCAAGGTCTGAGATGAGTGTGTAAGGTGTATGGTAAGTGTGGGCGTGGACAGTGCTACGGGGACAGGGTTGGAAACCCTGAGAGTCAGACTGGAAGCCACATAGAATGCTAGCATGCCACAGACGTACAGCTAATTAGCTACAGCCTTGATGGGAAGACAACGAGCAAACCAGTGTAGGGCATCTGAGTACATTTACGGTGGTTCTGAAGAATGTTAATGAGAATCTTTGAAAGTCTGGTCATCGATGAGTGTCATGATGGAGAAGTGACTGAGAGGCAGATAGTCTAAGATAAGCTGCCACCTGTGTGAGAACGGTCAAGTGAGGTGTCACACTCATTTCATCTTAGTTTCTCTTACTTAGTGATATGTAAACTTGAAAGGATGACAGTAAATCACAACTCACTGCCAGCGAATCAGTCCTGAAGCCGAGCGACCCTAAAGGACACGGTAGCGCTGCCCTGGTGGGTTTCTGAGGCTGCCAGCCTGTCCCGGAACAGGAAGCCGCCCTCATCTCCCTATGGAGCAGCAGGTAGGTTCCAACTGCTGACCTTGCAGTTAGGAGCTCAGGGCACAGCCTGAGAGTAACCGCTTAATGTTTGCTCCTGGGTTCCATTTGCTTTTCCCTATTCTGTGAGTAGCAATAATTCAGTGAGGTGAATGCTTGTTTTTGAACCCGATTTACCTACGAGTTGACCCCAGTGCTCAGTGGCTCTAGAAACTGACGGCTAGTGCAGGGTGGTGAACAGCGCTCAAAATGACCAGAAGGCTGCCTGGAGAAGGTGCTAAAGGATAGAAATGATCAGATCAATGGCCTAGGAAAATCCTCTCCCTTTACTTTAAAAAGAGATCTGAAATTAAGATAAACGCAAGTTAATTTTTTTCCAGTGAGTCATTTCTTCAGCCAAATTAGGGTAAGTATCTACTTGGCTGATACTTTTTTTTCCTCTTAATCTAATTTAGACTTGGACTGAATGACGCAAATAAAAAGAAAAGATCAATGTACTTGGAAATCTGGGACATTCCTAGCTATGGCTTTAAAAAAAAAAAATCTTTTGTATCAGCTGGTTGCCCTTTATCTGGAAAGAAATATACCATTAATCAACAGTAGGAGCAACTAGTCCTGCATCTGATCAGTTCATTTAAAATAAAAGCTAAAAGGTTATATTATGGTAAATGTGCTGCAATTTTTTTAAGTTAATAAAACAAAATTTTGAGCTACAGAGGTAACATAGTCAGTAATGGAATTCCTACTTTTACATTTTAATAGGGGAAAAAACCATACCTATTACTGACTCTAAAATGTCCACTGAGGATCTTGTAATAATTCTTTCCCTCGCTGGAATTACAACTCTCACAAGACTCTCAGTAAACAAGAATCTGCATTCATTTTGTTACAAAAATAAAGGTAACAACACTTGCCACTTGCCAATTAAGAATCCCCATTCTTATCACTCATATTGCACGGAGAACCCTTGAAGACTCAAGGCTAACCTGGAGAGAAAAGCTCATCTTACCTGAGAGCTGAGGGGACACCTCCCTGAAGTCCGTGACAGGAAGAGAGAAGAGAGGAGTCAAGAATCCGATGAAAAGCCAGCAGGAGGCCCACTGATACATGGCTGGCAGGGATGTGGTCTTCCCCTTTGGCTTCTGTTATCCAGAACTGCCAACTTGCTCCTCCTCACTTTGAGATCGCTGATTATATACTACCCGGTGACCTCATAAATAGCTCCCTCAAAAAGCAAAATAGAATTTATTGGCTATGGAGGCTGAAAGGCAATCACTTTGCATTGATGTCATTCTTTCAAGGTAACGATTCATCGACAATAAATTTGCAGTCTCGTTGCCTGGAGTATAAAGTCGGTATTACATAAAGGAAGAAGAGTTCAATTTATAAATCTGGCATGAAAAGTAATGTCCAGCCACAAATCATGAGGTAAAGGGGGGGTCGGACGTTAGCTGGAGTGGCCAAGGCAGAGAGACGTGGATTTATGAGGCCTCTCAGAACTGACTGCGTTTTCTTTCTTTTTGATCTGCCCTGAGGAGAACGGATGGGTTGACAAGTGGTGTTTGGGGCCACCATGCTAGAAGAATTACAGTCAGAGGAAGAAAACAAAATGAATAATAGACTTTTAAATAGGACGAATACTTTATAGCAGTTACGTAGTGACGCCCGGGACACATGCAGGCAAGTTCTGTGCATACACTTCACTTGGAAACCACGCTCTCCCGAGCGCGCAGAGAGAAGCAGTGTGGTTAGCTGTCATCCGGTCTGCCGCAGCCTCGGACAGCCGCCAAGTGACGAGTTGAAGATCAGAGTGCTGTGATTATAGGGTTTCCACTGGCGTGTGTTCAGAAGTAGATCATCAGGCCTTTCTTCCTGCCCATCTTCGTCTGAAAGCTTCAGTGGGGCTTTTTCAGCATCCTAGCAACAGAAACCTGCCCTGACAGGTGGTGGCCGAGCGTGAAGTCCATTGGTTGGGAATGGAGCCCAGGTCTCCCACGTGGAAGATGATGATTCTAGCACTCGGAACCACCGCTGCGTTGTGAGCATAGCAACAACTTTCCTTGAAGTTCGATATCATTCAGCAAGGAGGGATGGACATTTCCAGAAAACCTTGCTTCTAAATACTTCTAGAATTGGACTGATCTTCACCACCTCCACTCTGGCCAGTCTGGATTATGCAGCCCTCTCCCACGGCGTCTCTGAGTCCGTGTTTTGTCCCACCATACTCTAGTTTCAGCACAGCAAAGACAGGCTTCTAGAATACCATCAGAGCACGTCACTTCTTTCTCCCACGCCCTCTATTGATCTAAACATAAAAGCAACGACTATTAGGTTACTAAGAAAAAATTTTAAATAATAATTGGGCCTCTCATCCATTGAGTGGGGACAGGAAATGTGCCACCTCTCTGTAAAACCATCTGGAACTTTCTTATAAAGCTAAGGACATAAGTCAGAAATCCCACTCCTAAGTGTATGCTCAAGCAGAATTAAAGCATGCCCACCCGAGGACCTGTACACACATGTTCACAGTAGCAAAACACTGCAGACAACCCACATGTCCACAGCAGGTAAATGGGTACATCAATTGTGGAATACCATACTCAGAATAAAAAGATAGACCAGTGATACACACACGTGGGTGAAGCCTCAAAAATGTTCTATGCAGCACAAGGTGACCCAGGAGAGGAGACTGCTCGATTCCATTTAAGAGGAATTCTAGAACAGGCAAAAATGAATGGCCACTGGAAGTGAGTTCAGTGGTTGCCGGGGCCTGGGGGCCTGGGATGTAGAAGGAATCTGAGGAAGACAGGGATGTTCTACATCTTGATGGAGGCAGCGGTGACCTGGGCATGCGGAGGGGCTTCAACGAGTTCCTGGAAAATTAAAAGATCATTGAATTTTCCTTGAACTTGAACTTTATGAAGCTCCCTCTTCTACAATGGACCAAGTCCGTCCAACCATACACTTATGGCAGGTGCATTTTATTGTTTGCACATGGCATCTGGTTAAAGCTGATTTAAGATAACCCCATGGGCTCCTGGTTCCCTTTTTGGCCTCTTGTAATTGTTTTCTCCTGCTTGCACAGTACCTCATTCCTTCTGACCCTCCTGCTGTTTTGTGAAGGTATCCCTGCCTCTGGGCCTTTGCACCAGCTGATCCCTCTGCCTGAAAGGCTCTTTCCCAAGAACCCTGCAGGGCATCTCGCTTCTTTTCCCCAAGTGTTTGCTAAAATGCTGCTTTCTCCATAGACCTTCCCTGACTACACTTTTCAAAATTGCAACCAATCCCACCCCAGTGTGCCTAGTCAACCTTGCCTGGCTCCATTTTTTTTCTTCCCCATTGCACTTCTAAGACACACTGGACTTTCTATATTTCTCATACATGGTAAACCCATTGCCACCTGGTCCGATCTTTTATAGGGTTCTTGAAACTGTAAACTTTTATGGGAGAAGACAGCCTCCTCTTTCTTCTGCAGAGGCTGGTGGGATTGCACTGCCAGCCTTGTGGTTAGCAACCCACAGCACCCCCAGGGTGGCTTATCAAACACTGTACACAGTAAACATTTGTGAAAATTAATGGGACACGGACCATATGCCAGCCCTTGCGTAGGGAAAAGAGCCCGGAACGAAAGAAAAGGAGTCATCGCTTTCATGGAGCTTTCTAACTGGCAGACAGAGAGCCAGCATGGTAGGTGACCATTGCTATGAAGAGGAATCCGGCTAAGGAGAGCGGGGAGTGGCTGGCGGTGGGTTGTGAGATGCTGAGAGCCACCTGGTGAACAACAGGATCAAGCGCAGCCTGGTCCTGCGCCGTCCTCACAATTGCTGCTGCGCTGCGCTGGAGCCCTTGGCAACAGCCACTGTGTTAGTCTGTCTGGCCCAGTGTCTCTTCCTTTATGTCACCGACCCTTCACTTCACCAAGCTTGCTGTCCCTCTCCAGGGGAAGTTCCTATTTTATGTAGGGATGTCAGGGGGCACTTTGAGAAGGTGACGTTTGACGCCCTCGTGAAGTGAGTGAAACCTGCTGGAGTCAGTGAAATCAGGGCCAGTGGCCTGTGAAGTAAGAGGGGAGGAGAGGGACCACGTTCCCAGAGGCCAAAGGAAGAGATGTAGACAGCGACAGCTGGGTCATATCTGCTCACTGCTGGGCCCCGGTGCATGAACCTAATTGGTGGCCTGGATAAGAGTGTCAGTGGCAGGAGCGTTGGGGTATCTTCGTCTCATTAACTCACACAAGTATTTTCGAGCACCACTTCTGTGCCAGCGAAAGGTCTGTGCTGTGCTACTAACTGCGAGGTTGGTGGTGCAAATATTCCCAGTGGCACCTCAGATGAAAGGCCTGGCCATCTACTTCAGAAAGGTAACAGCCACGGGAAATGCTGGGCCCAGTTCTAGTCTGACACACCTGGAGTCGTGTGTAGGAATGGGCTTAACAGCAATAGGTGGTTTGAGTTTTCTGGGCCAGCACTGCACTGCTATGAGGACAGGGGAGCTGCAGAAACTTGTTTTGTTCCCTTGAGGGGGAACCCTTAAGGCCCTTGGTTGGTTTCCGGATTCCAGTTCATTTTGGGAAGGCGGGAGCCGGATTCCCCTTGGGTTCCTTTTCCTTCCGTTTTCTTGCTTCCTTGCTTTGTTTTTTTTCCTTTGGGGGGAAAGCCATAGCTGTTGAGTTGATCCTGACTCAGCAGCCCAGTGTGACAGAGGAGAACTGCCCCGTGGTTGTTCCTTAGGCTGTAATCTTCGTGGGAGCATCTGTCCTTTTCTTTCCCACCATTCTTCCTTGCATGGCTGGTAGTTGAGCAGCCCACAGCTTAGCCATTGAGTCCAGGGCCCCTTTCTACCCATATAGATTTTTACCCCACCTCTGGGCAAAAACTGGCTTTCTTTTCTATGTGCGTTTGACTAAAAACAAATTCACATTTCATTTTAAGCAATCAAACCAGACACATCTTTGAATCCAATACAACCTGTGATATGCAGATGATACAACCTTGCTTACTGAAAGTGAGGAGGATGTGAAACATGGATGAAGATCAAGTATTGTGTGTGATTACAGTGTGAATCAAAACTCAGTGTAAAGAAAACCCAAATCCTCACGTGGACCAGTAGATAACATCATGATAAATGGAGAAAAGATTGAAATAACCAAGGATTTCATACGGATCCACAATCAGTGCTCATGGAAGCAGCTGTCAAGATCAAACAACACATTACATTGGGTGAATCTGCTGCACGAGACCTCTTTAAAGTGTCAAAAAACAAGCCTGTTACTTTTAGGACTTTGGTCAGTTGTACCTGACCCAAGGCAGGGTATTTTCACTTGCTTCATATGTGTATGAAAGTAGGACATGGAATTAAGAAGATGGAAGAAGAATTGAAGCATTTGAATTATGTTGCAAGTAAAGAGCATTGAATATACCATTGCTTGCCAAAAGAACAAACAAATTGGTCTTAGGAATACAGCCAGAATGCTCCGTAGAGGCTAGGATGGCGAGATGTCATCAGGAGAGACCACTTCCTGGAGGACACCATGCTCAGAGTACAGGGACATCAAGAAAGAGGAAGCCCCTCAGTGAGACGGATGGACACGGGCTGCAATGGGCTCAAACACAGGAACAATGGTGAGGAC